CAGGGATATCCTTATTCTTTTCAGGAATATCAAAGCTCTCATTCTCATCACCGCTCTATGGTACGTCTCGTTTGCGAGAAGTATGGCCATTAAAAAAATGCGCCTTTAGTCGCATTGCAGCCCAGAAATTTTTATATTCCACTCCATAAGCTAAAAATCTGCAACCTTTGTGGTAAACGTATCAGGCTTTTCCAAGCCAAAGTCTTGTTAACTCCGAAATGACCTTAAGTTTCGAAATAAGTCTGCCTTCAGAGAAGTCATATATCTTCGAAAGGTGTTATTTCAAGCGCTTCTTCTCCTTCTTGTCTTGTTCTTCTCCATAACGTTAGTCCCGCGCTGTAGTCTGCAGTCACTGCTCTGGTGCAGCGAGAGTTTGATTGTGTTACATTGCAAGATGATTCAGAGGCTCCATGGAACTCTAGGACGGTGGTAAAGTGCCACAGACTTAAAGTCAAGGGTGATGTATTGGCCGTTGTCCGCGAATAATGAAAGGCCATACCCCGAGAGTTGGACAAGAGGTGAAATGCTCCCGCCCACAAGGAAAGAGCTATAACACTATCAATAAGTAACACAGCAAGGAACAGCTGATCACCTTATTAGCAGAATTCAGTATTATAGAAAGCTCCAGTGGCGCTCCACCCGTACTCTCCCACCTACCACCGACACTCCTTTTCCAACCGCTCCGCATTCCTAGGGGATTTCAATAAGCATGACACAGACGCATAAAATCGCGCTGACGAAGCGAAGGAAGCGTTTCGCCAGCCATGCTTTTGTTATTCTTTGGAAAGGACAGACACCATAGTACAGTTCGCCCCAAATGTTTTGATTCAACTCGATTTGTGATGCATTTGGAAAAGCTATTATTACTTTTGTAAAGGACAAGCTGCGAGTTGAATGGTTTGACAGCGGATATTGCTTGCCGCCAAACTGAAATAAGCGTTTTACAGGGAATGCTTTATTAATAGATCTCTGGTCGTTCCGACACTTCTGCGCCTTGACCTCAAATGAGGATTTCACGGTGAAAAGCCAGCCCGTTGGAAATGAGTCAGAGATGCGCAAAAGAAGAAAAAAGAAACTGCTCAGAAAGAAGGAAGTGAAATCACTTTTTGCCCCTCGATTTCCGCAGTGATGCGACTCTCATCGGTGCAGCACTCTTCAACGTTAGCACTCTATCTGCTAAGCGGCTAAAGGCTCGAACAGGAGGGGGGGGGGGAGTGGTTCGTTCGGTTTTCCTCCTAGGTCAGGTCACCAGAGCTGCGCGATCACCGAAGCCTAAGGTTATGCTTGGGTTTAGGCTTGGGCATAAGCTATGCTTTCACATTGGTTTGTGCTCTTGCCTATAATTGTCTTAACCATAATTGGGCCTAGGCTTGGTCCTAGGCTTGCTTCGAGCAAAGTATATGTATAGTATGGAGTATAAATTCCAAGGGACCTGACCTGAGGGGGAGAGCTGCATCGCACCCGTCCACACCCTTGCGAGGTCCGCCTGTTCTTCCACTAGATAAATCTCCCCTTTTTCGAGCTTATCCCAGAATCTCCTTTATTTCGAATGCCTGTGTCTCTGCTTGAAAACGATGTCGTGGCGCGTATTGTCGTAACGCGCCTCAATTCGCCACAGTACACCACCCACACACGGATTTTTAAGTGCACATTGCGTGCTTAGTTCTCGCGATCGCGCTTAGCACGGATTAGAGTTATGTGCACGT